TACCCGAGTTTGGAGTTTACTGTTTCAGGTAAAAATCAGAAAATTCTCAAACAGGTGGAGGATGGTAAAACTTCAGGATCCATACTAGATGAGGAAAAATCAGAAGATTTTAATGAAGAGTCACAACAGCAACAATTCAGAGTTGATGATAGTGATCCTTCAAGTCCTCAAGGATCAAGCCTTCAAACTCAATATGATACAGAAGCCTATCAAAAGCCAAAAAGAATATCTAACCCTCCTGTCAGGTATGGTTTTGAAGACATGATGGCTTATGCGTTGCATGTAGCAGAAGAAGTTGATACAACTGAACCAGCCACATACAAGGAAGCCATGGATCATGCAGAAGCAGATAAATGGATCCTCGCTATGAAGGAAGAAATGGAATCACTTCAGAAAAACCAGACCTGGAAGTTAGTAAAATTTCCAAAAGGAAGACATGTAGTAGGACGCAAATGGATCTTCAAAAGGAAACTTGGAATTCCTGGAGTTGAACCCTTGAGATACAAAGCCCGTTTAGTTGCAAAGGGGTTCAGTTAGAAGGAAGGTGTGGATTTTAATGAAATCTTCTCACCCGTTGTGAGGCACACTTCTATAAGGGTTCTTCTAGCCCTTGTAGCCTGTCAAGATTTAGAACTTGAACAATTGGATGTAAAGACAGCTTTCTTACATGGAAGACTAGAAGAGGATATCTTAATGAAGCAACCGGAAGGCTTTGTGAAATTAGGAAAAGAAGACTATGTGTGTCAACTACAAAAGTCTCTCTATGGATTGAAACAATCACCTAGGCAATGGTATAAGAGATTTGACACTTTCATGATCAGCAAAGGGTTCAACAAAAGTCCCTATGATTGTTGTGTTTACCACAAGAAGGTGGAGGATGGCTTCATGATTTATCTTTTACTGTATGTAGATGACATACTCATAGCTGCCAAGAACAAATCTGAAATTCAGAATCTGAAGGCTCTTTTGAGTGGAGAATTTGACATGAAGAATTTAGGTGCTGCCAAAAAGATCTTAGGAATGGAAATCTACAGAGACAGATCTCAGAAGAAACTTTTTCTCTGTCAGAAAGATTATATTCAAAAGATTTTACACAGGTTCGGTATGCATAATGCAAAGCCATTGAGTACACCTATGTCAGTCAAAGAAAAATTGAAAAACGTTGCTCAGACTCTGAGCCAAACTGAACAGAACAATGTATTACAGGTTCCCTATGCCAGTGCTGTTGGAAGCCTAATGTATACTATGGTATGTACTAGGCCTGATCTTGCTTATGCAGTTAGTGTTGTAAGTAGATACTTGAATCAACCACAGAAGGAGCATTGGCAAGCAGTTAAAAGGATATTCAGAAATCTGAGAGGAACATCTGATATTGGTCTAATCTATGGAGCAAACACAAATTGTTGCCTAGCTGGATACTCTGATGCAGATTATGCAGCTGACTTAGATGGAAGAAAATCTATCACTGGATATGCTTTCACACTCAAAAGCTATCTAGTAAGCTGGAAAGCAACTCTTCAATCTTCAGTTGCACTATCTACAACCGAAGCTGAATATATGGCCTTGACTGAAGCTGCAAAAGAAGGGATATGGCTAAAAGGTTTGATATCTGATTTAGGTGTTAAACAGGAGCATGCACTGATTTTTTGTGATAGCTTAAGTGCTATCTGTCTTGCTAAAGATCAAGTGCATCATGAAAGAACCAAGCACATAGATGTAAGGTACCACTTCATCATATCAGAAAGAAGAATCAAGGTTCAGAAGATTGACACTCTTCACAACCCTGCTGACATGTTCACAAAATTTGTCCCTAAGAGCAAGTTCTTTCACTGTTTGGACTTGCTCAATGTTGATTGTTGGAAATAACTTTCTAAGATAGGTGGCAACATAAATTTTAGACAGCTAAGAAGCTCCAAATGCAAGGTGGAGAATTGTTAGACATGCCTTTGTATCTATCTTAGCTGTAATTTTATCCGTTGGGTACTCGTGTAATTTTGTCCGTTGGGTACTCTTTGGTTTAGATATACATATAAACCTTAGAGTGCAACGTGAGTCACACACACACAACTCTGAATACTGAATAAAGAAAAGAGAGAATCTGTTGCCATCCGTGGACGTAGCCCATTGGAATTGGGTGAACCACGTAAAATTCTCCGTGTGTTTTTCTTTCTTCTCTTTTACTGTTTCTCTTTACTCTATTTCTGTTTCCTTTTGCCTTGGCTGTGTTTTCTTTTGTTCAACAGATTCACTACAGAAGACACATACATATGAGACATGGTATTGTAAGAAATATTCTAATTAAAATGGTGATATTTCACTTGAATATGTGAAAAGTGACAAAAATCTTACAGATTCTTTTACAAGAGGATTACCAAGAAAAGTTATCTTGGATATGTTGAAGGGTTGGACTTAAAGCCATGAGTGGAGGAAAGTATAGTGGATACCCGATTAATGGTCAAACAAAGCCATATGAATACTCATATGCACTACGTTTCTCATCCTTATGACATGTGGTAGTGCTTAATGTGAGGTTGAGTCATGAGCTCTTAATAGATACATAGTTCTTTATATGGATCATATTATTGAGACGCACTTGATATATCTGTCGATGTGGGTATGAAGGCTCATGCTACCTTCTATGGAAGATTGACTATATTTTTAGAGTACTCACAGACAATCCAAGGTAATCAATTTTAAAAGTCTAACTTTCTGTAGAGATTTAAATGTGGAGTTATCATAATTTTAAAGATATAAGTGTGTGTTGTGAGGGTATCATCTTAATTTCATTAAGTTCAAGGTAATTCACTTTTTTAAAATTAAGGTGTTGTCTCGCATCACTATATGTTAATTTAATCTTCAAGATATTAACACTTAAACACAACATTTATTTCCTTGTCTAGAAATTTACTTGACTCGTTCCTTTTACTCTGTTAATTACCATTAGTAAGTGATTATTGGTATAATGACATTATTTTTTTTCCGTTGAAGCATAATGACTTTTAATTTTATGATTATTGACAGCATTTTCTTTACTTTAATTTTTTATATGTGGCTTTAATAGTCATTCAAGAGCATTAAAAAAAATTTATAGCATTTATGTTCTTTTAATGGATTAATGGATGTTAATGGTCTAATATTTTACTCTATAAAAGAGTATAAACATCACATCTTAGAAGTAACAAAAATTATTCTTTACACTTCATTCTTCCTCTCAATAATTTTCTAGATATTATTTGTGAGACTCCAATATATTTAATCTTAAATGCGAGTTTAAACACATCTTTGTGTTAATCTTGAGAAACAAACCAGTATTTAAATTACACTAAAAATACATTAAAAATTTACTTTCTTAACAATAATTCTTCCCACGACAAAACTTTTATTGTCTTTAATTCCTTCATGTACTGTATATTCGGAAGGAAACGAGGAGATGACAAATTGTAGGTATAATAATATTCTAATGGACCCAAATCAAAAATTGACAGCTGATCAAAAGGAACCTTCCTCGGATTTAGAGAGATACCGGAGAAGATTGGTTAAAAAACTTATTTATCACACAATTACTAGGCCTGTCATTTCTTTTGCAGGCAGAGTTGTTAATAATTCGTGCAAGCTCTTCGTACTGATCACTGGGATGCAGTGGTTCAGATTCTCAAGTACATTGAAAAGGCCCTCGGACAAGAACTTCTATATGAAGATAACAGAGATATCCAAGTTACTGGCTATTATAATGCTGATTGTGTATGATCTCTAATTGATAAACGCTTTACCATTGGAAATTATATATCTATTGGTAAAAATATTTTATAGAAGAAAAAAAAATCGATTAATTGCAGTAGAATATAGGATATAGTAATAATCAATTCACTCTTCGTGTCGTCTTTAATCCAATGTTTCATGAAAGGATGGGACATAAAAAAATTGACAGGCTATGTTCAAGAAAAATTATTATTGTATCTATCAACTTAATGATGAACTTTAAAGATTAAAGATCTTGAAAAAATCTCTAACGTCCTCGAACTCAAAACATTTGTCCCAAACTTGAGCATTCAATTTATATACTACAATTTCAGATTTGTTGGAAACCGCATCTGGAGAATTAATGTCTAGATAGTTTAATAGCCATATTCATGTATAGTGACTTGTCATTTTCCTGGGTTACATTTCCTCCATTGCTCTTAAATGTAATTCAATATGAAACTATTATAAATAGTCATGCTGCTAATAACTTTTTCACTCGTGCATTTAAGCAAAATTTAGTTTTCAACTCTTATAATTAAAATGAATGATGAAAAGAAATATTAAATCATGGTCTTCTTTTCTGATAGCGACCAAGTTCTACACGAGAATTTAGAAACCCGTGAGTCGTGTGTAAACTACACAAAAAGCAAAACTTTGAACTTCCTAAGCAAAATTACTAGTGTTGGGGTTATTTTATGGTATTTGTATGAGAAGATATTTTATGAAATATTTTTATAAGGTTATTACACAAACATACTCCACAATGATGAGATATTGTCCGCTTTGGGCCTTAGCCCTCACAGTTTTGCTTTTGGTCATCACCCAAAAGGTCTCTCGATCATTGAAGTATGTTTGTATTATATTATTTTATCGATGTGGGACTTGTTTGAATCCCAACAATCCTCCTCTCAAACAAGGGACCTAACCTTTCATGCAGCAGAATCTGTCTTTATATAGCACATTATATTTTATGAGTTATGAGGGGTTACAGGGTTATTGGTTGTCACCGAATCCAACCTGCGGCTCTGATACAACTGTTGGGGTTATTTTATGGTATTTGTCTAAGGGGATATTTTATAAAATATTTTTATAAGGTTATTACACAAACATACTCCACAATGATGAGATATTGTCCGCTTTGGGCCTTAGCCCTCACGGTTTTGCTTTTGGTCATCACCCAAAAGGCCTCTCGATCATTAAAGTATGTTTGTATTATATAAGTTGTTATTTGTTGTATTATTTTATCGATGTGGGACTTGTTTGAATCTCAACAACTAGCAATAACAAAGTTTGAACTAATTTTCCCTTCATCCCAGGATAATAAAATATAACAAAAATCTGAGCACAACTGCTCCATATGATTAGATAGCATAACTTAGGAATTAGTAAATTTTCCTCACTTCTTGTTTTTCTTTCTTCCTTTCACCTGTTTCTCTAAACTTCTAAGCCTTTGACTAATAACAGCAGAAGAAGATATCTTTTTATTTGAATGCTTTGATGGTTCATCTGGCATTGAGCTTGGCCCATTTGTCGTTGTTGTAGCTTGTTTTAGAGCCGGAAATATAGAAAAGGGAGATTGAGGATTGGTGGGTGCTGCAACAGGAATTTCAGGAATACCCAATGTTTTCTTTACACCAGGAACTTTAAGTACTGTAAAATTAAAAATTAGAGAAAGGGATTAGAAAAAAAAATCAAGAAAATATAATAAAGGTTCACTTGTGTTTGTACTATACAGTTCAGAGTGAAAAAGATCCTTTTAGTGCATAAATGATGAGAAACTTAGACGATACACGAAACACAGCCTCAAACTTGAGTCTTACTGACCTACTACAATGATTTCCTTCGTTAAGAGAATTTCAAGTCCATACATCAAGTTTCTGCCTATTAAAGTGATGACAATTGGAAAAGAGCAAGAAAAATTTCAAGAGCCTTACCAAGTCCATACATAAGTGAAAACAAATTTGATGTAACCCAGTAACAGAAAACTGCCTGCACAAATATAAAGGAACACAAGTTCAAATCATATAGGATGGACAAATGAAAGCAAACATGAAGCTGTAAAAAGAAAATAGGCAAACACTCCTTTTCTTTCAAAATTAGCTAAGCATCAATAGATATTACAAACAAAACACAGCATATAAAGCGAATACATCTGGATGGAAAATGGATAATCAATAACCTATATATATATATATATATATATATATATATATATAAAGCATGGATTGCAGAAACCTTTGCTTTGCCAAAGATAGCCTTCAATTTAAGGCAAATTACAATATTAATTTTCATAATTATTAAGGCATCTCTTTTCAAATAGAGAAAATGGAACAAGTTTGTAAGTTTCCAGATGGGGATAGAATATTACTGTTTAGTCAATACAGAATATTTTTCCGGTTTCCTAACATATTTCAAGCAGTAAACTACTACATTATCTTTTCAGGTTATTATGATCTGCCCTTCTGAGAAAAAAAATAATTATATGGGAGAGAACAGAAGTACAAAGGAGGGAAAAAAAATCCTCTGGAGTTTGAAAGATAAATAAATAAACAGCAGATAAACCAGCAAAGACACCATTTCAAAGGTGCTCACATCTCTCGTGAGATCCATGAAGAGAACCACCCTAAAAAACCATGGATTGGCACTCACATAGAAGCCAAGAAACAAGTTTTGTAGTCCTAAACTAAATGGAAAGGTCGAAGTTTCTATTTGATAATTATGGGGTTATGCTCAATTCAAAATCACAAATCCCACAAATAAACTATTGGGATCTTTTATATAGGAGAAAATTGAGGTGACGTTTTTGCAATAGCAATCAAATTATTTCCTGCACTTCTCAAAAGACATTTGTAATAACAAAAAAAACAATAAAACCTTAAAATCTCACATGCAACACATGTCAAAAGACTCAAAACCTTAGTCAGAATCTCATAATTCAATGTGATTCAACAAGTCAGCAATTCAGATCATGACATTAATGGGATGTGGCTTTAAGTCATGTAATGCATGGATGAATCAGTAAGCAATCTGCTACTTTTACCTTTTCTTTTCTTTTCTTTCACTAATTTTCATAAAAAAAAAATTGAAAAGTAAAATAAGTTTTAATTGTTTACAAAAAGGAAATGAAGGAGCAACCAAATGCACCCTATCTGGTTATTTCAGTGCTCTGTTTTCATTCTTCTGGAATAGTTTTGCACAGATCTCATTCATTCTGTGTAGCTGTTCCTTTGTTCTGTTGTCTTTCTTCTAAAATAAAGGCTTCAATACAGAGTTATGACCTGTGTTTTTCATTCATGAGACTTGTAGTTAAGTTGTTTTGTCAATTTGTAGTTTAAAATCATTACATTGAGCACTATAAATCATTATATAAATTAAGCTAATTTTTATAGCATCTCTGGATTTGATATAAATTATATAATATTCAAGATTCAAAATTAGCTTGATGGAACACAATTTGATAACCTTGGTCGAAACTAGTATATAAAAACAGATGTTAAAACAATGCATTAGATGACCAGATAAGATGACTAAGGCATATATTACGAAAAGAAGTGGGAGCAGTAGGGGATCAAAGTTACATGTGGCAAAGTGGGAAGTGTGACCTCGTGTGACAACCTGTTACACTCTGGCTATAGGGCTGAGGAAACGTGAGAACCTAGGAATTTGGCTATAAGAAAGAGGAAAATCAGGTCTCTCAAACACTGGAAGTCTGGAACTATCCTTGTATTTTCTTTTCTTTTTTTCACCCTATTCTTGTAAATCTCCAGCTTCGTTCACAGAGCCTGCTGAGTTCAGATATCACCTTGATATCAGGTCAGTAGTGGTGAATACATACATTACCTTCAGCTCTGCTTTACATCCTTGAGAGAAGATCTTTATTTGGAGATACACAAAAATTAGGAAAGTGACTACGGGAATTCACGAAAGGGACCCAGGCCTCTCAATCACTGGGTTCCTGGTATTTTCTTTTCTCATATTGCAATTTTCTTCTGTTTCTTGCCAAATTCTGACATCACCATGATATCAGGTTGAAGATGTCAATACATACATTATTTTCAGTGCTGTTCTACATTGCCAATCAAGGTTCTATCAGTCATATAAACCACACAATTCCTACAATGCATGCTCTCTAAAGCCAAAGCAGATTTTGCTATTCAAAGTATTTTAAGATATCAAAGGATTATTAAGTACCTTCTGGTAACTTAACTTTCGATTTTATGGATTGAGTTACACTAGCTAAGTTACTGGTCAATAAGCAAACCGTATGGTTTTTGGGACTCGGTTTAAAATACATACACGTCAAAATGAATGCTACCCATTGTAGCTTTTGCGTCCCACCCATTTTAACATGGTGTTGGAACATGGTCCCATACACGTGGATAGTATGCAACAAATTTTACTGAAATATAAGGCAGAACCTGTTTCTTTCCAAGTTCATACAACAATTATTTCAAATGCAGAAACAAATGTAAGCAAAGGGTTGTTACTGAAAAACAAAGCTAGGAAAATTTACCGATGGAAATCCCATGGTGAAAGGAACTGTAAGAACAGCAAGTCCCCTAGAGACATTTTTCATGGTACCAGCCACAGGATTTCCTTCCATCCCTTCTTGCAAATTACACTGAGGATCAATAAGAAATCAATTAAACTGAATTGGACCAAAACATAACATATAGCATCAATCTTGCCAAAAAAATTTAAAACTGTTTTCAGTTCTTTACAAGTGACTGATTTTATAGAGGATACTGGATACAAATAAAATTCAAAACAGAAGACCAAAATCAGTAAAGAGTAAAGAAGAAAGTCAATCTAAGAAGAGAATTGTAAAGAAAGTTAAAAGTTTCTGAAAAGTAAATGCACAAAATGCTCACCTCCACTGTTATTAAGAATGACAATGCAGCCAAAAATGGAAAAATGTACAAGGCATCTGGAGTTGCAAGATCAATAAACCAAAAAGCTCCGCCATGCTTGAATGATGGCACTTTTTCAGCCATATTGGTTATCTATCTTTAAACACAGAAATGAGAATGGATAGAAACAATATAAAGGCTCATAATACTCTTGAAAATGGGCAAAATATCAAGTTGAAACTCAGCTTACCGCAAGAAAAAAACTAACAAAAATAGGACCTTGAATAAAGAGTCCCATCAATGGCGTGAAAGGATGCACACCATATCTGCATTCATCAAAGCAAAAGGAAGAAAATATTTAGTGAAACAAAAGATCCGTAACGTTTGATTTAATACTTGAAACACTGTTTCCTAAAAGCCATGAACCAGTTACGTATTAGTTCTTAAACATAAACAACAATTACTCTTCTAATATATATTCAATGATCACACCTCTAAGCAAAAAGAAATGTTTAAATATCTGACAACGCATGTCTTCAGATGCAACATTTTCCATCTAATGGAAGTGTAGCCATGTTAACAGTTCATAAAAATTAATGCAGAACACTGATTATTTAACGATTTCAGGTATGACCATCACAGTTCTCAAGTCAACACAAAGATTTCTCCACTAGTAATACATTATAATGTCATATCACTAAATGTAGTAATTGCATCAGATAGGGAGGATTAAAAAATGACTCTTAGCAGATACAGAACAGAATAAAAAAGACCACAAAAATAATGACAAGAATATCCTTTACAAGAATATTAAGAAACCACTTACTCCTTAAATAGCTTCTTCATCTGCTGCTGACCTTTAGCAATGGCGACGGGGTCCATAGTCTGAAAATTGGATGTTATTTTAATCAGAGAGAGAGTTTTTTTGGTAACACATGTAATAAAATCCAAAACTTGAACATTTCACCAACAAACCACAGATAGTTCAAACTTAAAAGGTATTAATAATAAATATACAAGATGTTTAGACCTTATAAATTATATATACTGCAATGCCATTTGTCAACAGGCACAACTTTAAGAAATGAACATCCAGCAACCAAGGTACTTCTTACACAGAAATATAACTTAAATAGAACAGAACATATTTTTATAACATCTAATTTAACATAAAATCTAGAAACAAAATGTGTATTGAGAAGATGCATTTATTCATTTAACACAAATCTTGTTATTATATAGATGAATCCATTATTAAACATTACTTTTCAGTACACTATCACACCCAGGACCAGTGAACCAAAAATCCACTATACATAGCCAAAAAGTTATTATGACAACAATGGTGGTGAAAAGGTATGGGAAGTAATGGTGGCAAGGCCAGAAGCAATATAATGTTTGGTGGTGGTAGCAGAGATGAAAGTAACATAGATTGTAGTGTCAATGGTAACAACAATGATAGGAGCGGTTGTGATGAAGACAATGGTAGCATTAGTGGTGATGGTAATTAAGTGAATGTGGCATGCTAGCAGTAGTGGTAGTGGTGGCAGCGATGGTGTTGCAGGTGATTATGGTCGTAGCAATGTTGCAAAGACAGTGATTGTTGCAAAAGAAATAGGACCATAGGCGCTGTCATGGTGGTGCTAGTGGCAGTGGAAGCAATGGTAAAAATGCTGATGGCAAGATTATCATATTAATTCAGGTAGGATGACTGTAAAGAGGATATCAGTACAAAGCATCTCTTCTAAGTTATATGCTCTCTTGTAAATGGAAAGTCTGCTAATAATAATTGGGAAGAGTTTTGTTTAGTTGATTCTCAATTCCGTAGAATTGCTATAAGAAATGAAATTCCAATTTTATAAGGCATTCAAAAGATGAAATTTGTAATTTGAATATTTGATAGCCAAATTCCAATTCCAAGCTTGAATGCTATGCCAATTCCAATTTCCAAGTGGCAATAATAAAACTCCTAATACTCGGGTTGAGTTTCCTTTATTTTGTCGCTCTCTTCCCATTCTTTCCCTCCCCTTTCTCAATATATTTCCTCTAAGGTAGTGTTTGGACTTTGGCTAGCTTCTTTTGAGCTTTTCTTCTACTTAAAAGCAGAAATTGGGTCAAGCACATCAGCATAATTTTTATAAAGAAAAAGGAAAATAAATAGCCTTTAAAAATAAAATAAAAAATAAAAAAACCTAGGTGAAGGTGCGCTTTGAAAAAAGTTGGCTTCTCTATCTCTTCACTCTCTCTGTCACCTGACTCCGTCACAACCCTCTCTCGCTCTCTCTCCCCATTCCCCTTTTCTTCACTCTCTATTTCTCCCCACTCCCTCTCACCTCTCTCCTGTTCTCTCTCCCAGCTCCCTCTCACCTCTCTCTCCCCACTCCCCGTCTTTTAACTCTCTATTTCTCCCCACTCCCTCTCACTTCTCTCCTGTTCTCTCTCCCACTCTCTCCAATGTCCCCACACTCTCTTTCATTTTCTCTGTCTCTCCTCGTTTTCTAGTCTCTCCCCACTCTCTCCTCTATCTTCCCTCTCTCATTCTCTCTCTCCTCATTCTGTTATCTCGCTAGACTCTCACCTCTCTATTCCTGCTCTTGTTCTCTCTCTCCTCATTCTCTTGTCTCTCCTTGCTCTCTCTCTCTACTCTCTCAGCTCATCTCTTTTAAGCAAAAAAAAGAAAGAAAATGGTCAAACAGCTTCTACTTTATTTTTCAAATATCTGATTTTGAGTTTAATTTTATAGTAACCTTTATGCGAAAATAAAGCTAGGGCAAATATAGTCTAAATCATCTAGTAAAAAAAGAATATAGCCACATTGCATAGTGTATACAGTAAAGGAGATTAGTTGAGACTGTTAAGTGGAATTGTTTATTTTGACTCCAAAGATTTACCCAATACATACATCAACAGTATAGAGACTAAACAGGCGAACCATTTCAAACAAATTCGAGTCAAAACTAAAATTTAGGGATACAAGACAATACAACTTGTGAGGCCCCATTAGCTCACTTGCATATCAATACAATAGCAGCATAGCATACTCATCAGTAATAAAAAATGACTTGATGATTACCATCCCTTCCATCTGTTGCTTTATCTCTTCCAAGTGAGGCCTCATTAACTGTCACATATATGAAACCGTAAACTTAGGCAACAAGATAGATTAGAATTCAGAAAAGGTGCGTTATTGGTATAACCGTATAACAACTATAACAAGCTTGAAGATCTTTATGAAAAACAGAAAATAAAAAAGTGGGAACAGAATGGTGAAGTAAGGGAATTAACCTTCCAAGCCAGGTTAAGGAGATCTTAATCCAAAAAAGGAAAGGGAACTGAGGGGAAACAGTTCCCTCCAAATGTTTAAATTGTGTCCACTCCAATTAGGACATAAGAAGGAGTAAGGTACAAGCAAGAAATATTGCTATTACTTCATTTTAGCAAGAATTAGAGAAGAAGTTGAAAGCAGCATAAGATACCGTAAGTTTATAAGTGGCCTTAAGTTGATTTATTAAGAGTGGAACTGTAGCGCTTCGAATCAAAAGGGTTGTTAGAACTATGGCTGCCCACCTGAAACAAAGAAGTGATAAGGTTAACAATTTCATTGAAAACCAATGAATGTGCTACCAAATCCTAGATGTATTATTTATGAATCTATGAATTATAAATGAATGTGCCATTGCATAATCAAATCCCAGAATAGGCATCACATACTACAATGTAAGGAGTGCAAGAACAACCTTGCTAGCAATTGAATAGCCTTGAAGCCTTAAATTCCCCATACATTTTGAAATGACATAAAATAAGCTGAGATTCCAATTCAGATAGTATTAAAGGAAAGTCAGTAGTAGTACCTTCAGCACTTATGTTATGAATAGCAAGTCATAACTAAACAACAGAAACTAAAGGAATTGCTTGTACAAAACTACAAACCCAAATCCCTGATAAGAATTCAGGAATATATATATATATATATATATATATATATATATATATAGAGAGAGAGAGAGAGACATATATAAACTCACCAATTTAACCCGGTGTAGGAATGCACAGCATCTATCATATACTGCAAGGCCTTCACAGGCAAAAAAGAATCAGCAGCAGCGATTGCAACTTCATTAACAATAGGAGCCTGAGCAGCTACAGTCTCCATGGTTGCGTCAGTGAGAACATCAGCTACATCAGTCATTATGTCATTCTCCATCTTATCTGAACCCTGATTAACTGTCGACATATATCGGCAAAAATTGTATCCAGCGCTTGGAGAAGGAAACCTATCTCCAGAAGGAGCAAAGAACCCCATTGGTCCATTAAGAGAGCTTCCAAAGGACCTTATTTGGGTAAAATTACTACCGCCAGCTGAAGATGATTTTTCATCACGGCCCTCGCGTTTCCCTTCATCGCTATGGAGAACATAACTGAGAGACGGATGGCACCTCCGATCTATGATGTTCGCTCTCATCAAGAGGCAACGTCGGTAAGCCATTGGTATCCTTGGCCACTTCTATCAAACAGCATCAAAAAACAAATTACAAGTACAATCTAAGAAGCTCATACCAAGATAACAAATTCCACACACTCACACAGTCCACAATTCAGATTGATCCAAAATTCTGATACCAATGAATCTATCAAATAATAGATAAAACACCATGTATTTTCTGGCAATTTCTATCTATCATCAACCAACGTAACCACCTTCCTCAGTAACTCTCCGGAAGTATCAAAATGCTTTAATTTCTAAGTTAATAGACGCGGAAAATAGTGAAAATTAGGTTAGAGAACGTAAAGACGTAGAGTAAAATCAACTAAATCTGAAGAACGCGATATTCTATGGGGATGAGGTTACTGAGTAATTTTAATTAGGTTCACGCGTGCACTTGTGATTTCTGAGTGTTTAATTAAATTGATTTATCGTTGTGGTGTTGGCAGGCCTCGAAAGGAACGTCGGCATGGAAAGAAAAGTCACATCAGAATGCGAATTGAACGAAAGGAACTCACCGTGGACGATCGAACGTGAGGTGGTGGCGCAGCCTTCTGGTTGAGCCGCTCTGCACAAGAGAAGAAGGGGTTTTAGGTAGTTTATGTTAAGAGAAAGGCCTGAGGCCAAGGTTTTAGACACTCTCGGAATGTTTCGTTTTAGAAAATGTTTTCTCATTCTATTTTTTTAAAATAATTTTATTTTCAATTTTTTAAATTTAGAAAATATGTGTATTTAATCTATCACCCCGGAATTTTTACTATTACAATATCAATTATTATCTATTTTTATATATTTATGAAGATTACTTTTATAGTTATTTTAGTTAATTAAAGAGGTTTTTATAGAATATTTTAGAGATTTTTAATAATTTAAATTATTTATGAAAATTTTTATATAAAAGTATGTTTTTTTGGGCTGGAACGGGCTGTTCCAAAAGTGGAACAGGCCGTTCCAAACAACAAAAATAAACTATTTTTGAAGTATCAGAACGGGCCGTTCCAGATGTAGAACGAGCCGTTCCAGATATAGAACGGGTCATTCTAAATATGTAAAAATGCCTATTTGCATTTTTCCGGAACGGACCGTTCCCAAAGTGAAACGGGCCGTTTCATAATAAGAAAAATGCCTAAAAGTTAAGTTGGAAACGGGTCGTTCTCCTTATGGTCAATCTGTGTAAAAGTGAACTCCAGAAAGGGTCGTTCTAATTTTAGAACAGGTCGTTCTAATTTTAGAACAGGTCGTTCTGCTTTTTGGAAATGGGCCGTTCCGATTATAGAACAGGTCGTTCCAGTTGAAAATTTTGCGTATATTTGAAGGCTTCGGAACGGGTCGTTCCGAATTCAGTACGGGCCGTTCTGGGTGCGCCAAGATGCCTATAAATAGAGGCAGGAGGGTGAAAAATTTATAACGTAGTGAGAAGGTGAAAATCTTAGAGAGAGAGAGAAAGAAAGAGAGATAGAGAGAGAGAGAGAGAGAGAGAAAGAGAGAAAGAAAGAAAGAAAGAAAGAAAGAAAGGGAAAGAAAAAGGGAATCCAGAGGAGGAGGTTCTGCTCAAGTTTCAACTCCTGCTTATCCAGGTAAGGGGGGAGTGAGAAACCTTGCTCGGGGGTGTGGGGATAATTGTTGGATAGTTTGATTGTCGGATTGGCCCCCAATCCATTGTCGTTGTTCTGTTTTATTTTCCGTTTAAAGTAGGCATTCTATTATGACTTGATATGCATGTATGTTGGTATGTGGATAGATGACCTTAAGGATGAATTAATGAAGGTTGTGTGTTTAGTGAGATTGACCTTAGGATGTGATATCATCATATTAGAGTTAAGGGTGAAGATATATCCAAGATAGCGTTACACCAAGTTATCTAAGTATGAATTTCTATTGTATGAGGTGAATTTTCTAGGTCTTGTAATTTTTAGTGAAGATATAATGTAGATCTATCTGTGGGAGAAGTTATGCTTAAGTGGGAGATACCAAAGTCAGTTAGTGTGGAGATGAGTTTTCTTGAATTAATTTATTATTATAGGAGATTTATTGAGGAAATTTTCTAAGATAACATTACCTTTGACTGGATTGACCAGGAATAGATAGTTTCCTTTTTGGAATAGTGTGAGAGTATTTTCCAAACTCTTGATAAGTGTCTAATTAAGCTTGATTTAACAACCATTTGAGACACTTATCTAGCACATTTTGTGTACATATCAACATTATTTTGATCTATATATGCTTAGAATCAAAGAGGTATTTTGATTGTGCAAGTACATGGAATGATGAAGCTTTTGATCCATTTTGGTGTGCATTTTGTAGGTTTTGGAACCTGGAGAAGACTGGCTCAGCCATTCTAAAGCGCCCAGCGGATTAGCTTGTGCTGGAGAAGGAGTGCTCTCTGCCTCAAATCCGCTCAGCCACTCAAATCCGCTCAGCGGATTTCATCCAGGAACAAGGGGTGCTCTCTGCCTCTAAAGCGCTCAGCGGATCTAAGGCGCTCAGCCATTGAGATTTCTTCAGGGTGAAGAATTCCCAATCCGCTCAGCCGTTCCAAGGCGCTGAGCGGATTTATCTTTTTAGTGTTACCCTGTTTTCATATATATTAAAAGGAGGAGAGAGAAAAGTTGATTGTAGAACTTATTGGTTTGCTAGTGTGATGTTTGATTATGTCTATTAAATTGTATTATTTTCTTAGATTATGGTTTGGTTGCATGTGAATTTTATTTCAGTTTCTAAGTCTTTTGTATTAAATATGTGAGTTGTTTTGATTTAGGATTGTAGTAAAAAGTTTGGATATGAATTCAAGGTAAGAAGGAGTGAGTTTGGAAAGACTAAGGTATTTTTTGTGGCTTTAGATGTTGATACACTATTGTTGTCTGGTGTAGGAGATGTTTTGTTGTGTCAGTACAAGTGCTATATTGACAAAATTAGATTTTGTAGTCTTCAGGAAAGTGGTAGCCTTGGATGTTATCTTTCCAATGGAATTGGAATCAGGTAAAATGAAAGTCTAGAACTCCAGTATAGCTGCTTTGGTAATCAGATGTATAGTTGTAAGTGTTGAATATCTTTGTTGTGGTTTTTGAAGTTTTTTTTTTTAGCTAAGAAGATGATCTTTTTAGAATCTCATGTTTTCATAAGAGTTGTAGCTTATTCTCTTGTAATAGGTTGAGATCATTTGGATGAACATAATTCTTTATGTACCATTTATTTGACAGTTATTAAAGGAAGATATATGATGGATTAATTTTTGGGTGATTAAGCAAAGCAATGATAAAAAATGATCTGGATACGATGTTCTGAGGTGTTGAAAGGTTGTTTAAGGTTGTATGATGCTATCTGACAAAAATTGGTTCATGTACATGCTATATGGAGTAAACAGTGATTGATTCGTACATGCTTAGGGATAGTGTATATGAAGATTTAAAGTAGGCATTCTATTATGACTTGATGGATGTTATCTTTCCAATGGAATTGGAATCAGGTAAAATGAAAGTCTAGAACTCCAGTATAGCTGCTTTGGTAATCAGATGTATAGTTGTAAGTGTTGAATATCTTTGTTGTGGTTTTTGAAGTTTTTTTTTTTAGCTAAGAAGATGATCTTTTTAGAATCTCATGTTTTCATAAGAGTTGTAGCTTATTCTCTTGTAATAGGTTGAGATCATTTGGATGAACATAATTCTTTATGTACCATTTATTTGACAGTTATTAAAGGAAGATATATGATGGATTAATTTTTGGGTGATTAAGCAAAGCAATGATAAAAAATGATCTGGATACGATGTTCTGAGGTGTTGAAAGGTTGTTTAAGGTTGTATGATGCTATCTGACAAAAATTGGTTCATGTACATGCTATATGGAGTAAACAGTGATTGATTCGTACATGCTTAGGGATAGTGTATATGAAGATTTAAAGTAGGCATTCTATTATGACTTGATATGCATGTATGTTGGTATGTGGATAGAT